ATAATGTAGCCTAATAGAACAATTGATGGCACTGGAGGATGGGAGGCAATGGCCTAGTGGTATTATCACTGGACTGTTCATCCAAAGACCCAGGTGATGTTCTGGCAACCTGAGTTCAAATTCTGCCATGGCAGATGGTGGAATTTGAATTCAATATATATCTGGAATTAAGAGTCTAATGATGACTGTGAATCCATTGCTGATTTTTTTCAGAAAAGCCCATCTTGTTTACTAATTCCCCTTAGGGGAAGGAAACTGCCATCCTTACCTGGTCTAGCCTACCGGTGACTTCATACCTGCAGCAATGTGATTGACTCATAACTGCCCTCTGGGCAATAAATGCTGGCCTAATCAACAACGCCCTCATCCCGTGAATGAATAAGGGAAAAAAAACTGAATCTACTCAATGCATCCCAGATGGTTTTGTTGGGTATGAGTGTGCCATAAAGAATCATTTGTCCTGCCATCAATTATCTGGCCCATTGCCAAATTTTGTATGAAAATCATTCCTGTGAAGCATCTTAAGATATTTTGCTATGTTAATGGTACACAATTACTGCAAATTACTATTGGTTCAAGAGATGGGTGCTAGAGAAAATAGAATAGAGAAACGAATTGTGTTCTGGTTGCATTTATCTTTAAAATAGAATTTGAAGACTGAGATCTTCATTGGTTTATGTGGTTCTTTTGCAAATACAGTGTTAATGGTTATGGAATTAAAATCCCCTAGGCTCTAGACAGTGACTAATTATATTTTTAACCAATTAGTCCTAAATTGAGTTGAAGGTCACTTATACAAACAGATTGGCTTAAATGATGACAAAATGGAAGTATGAGACTCTATAATCAGCGATGCTCAATGTTAATCAGTGATGGAGAGTAACACAGTGTTCCTTCTTCTATTGAAAGCAAACATTCAAAACCTGAAGAATGATTCGCTCAGTCTGTCAGTCCATATGTTATACTCAGCCTTCAGCCTAAATATTATAGCTATTTTTCAGTCTTTATATTCCAATCCAACATGGCAGTAAAAATGCTTTAAACCGGACAATGGAGTGGGATTTAGAATTTAGTCAATAATTGGAGACATTACCCTTGGATAAATATTAAAATTGGGTTCTGCGTGATGAGAGCTGGAAACAATGATAGTGCAAAACGGTAGATATTTATTAACTATTCACAAACAGTTGGCTCAGCTAGACTCCATTAGAACCTTCTTCTGTCAGCTCCCATGGAGTCTAACATACTATGGTTTCACTGATGACGCACTCTAGCTGTTTGTGAAACAGCTATTCAGCCCTTATGCTATAACTCCTCCCAAGTCTTTTATCCTACACTTAAACTACTTTACTTTTATCCTAACCCCGCCTCCCCACTCCACCACCACTTCACAGTCTCTTACACCAGAGGTGTCAATCTCCAGTTGTGGTCTCATTCTCTTGGAGACAGTGTAGGATGTATACTGTCTGCAAACTCTTCCTTGGAAGGTGCTGACGTCATCAGACTGGGATCCCTGCTTCTTAATCACTGTGGGAAGATGATGCATGGAGATTTTCATCTCCGCTTTCCTTTTCTCTTTCTTTCAAACACACTGGGGCAAAGGTAAGCTGATTGCCACTTGAAAGAATGAAGCTCAATCAACTCCTGTGAAGAATCTTGCGATTGTATCACCTTCTTGCTGCTTTCTTGAACTGCTGCAGCCCATGTGATGTAAGGACAGTGCTGTCAGGAAGGGAATTCTAGGGTTTTGACCCAGTGACAGCGAAGGAATGGCAATATATTTCCAACCCAGAGTGGTGAATGGCTTGGAGAGGAACTTTCATGCAGTAGTGTTCCCATGTATCTGATGTCCTTGTCCTTCAAGATGGTAAAGGTCATGGGTTTGGAAATGAACAAAGAACATCCTGAAGAAGGATTGCTAAAGTTGTAGGAAGTTGTCTTTTTATAGAGAATAGTTCTTCTTGCACGCAGTCTTCAGTTTGAGTCTGCTCCTCAACATCTATGAAATTTCAGTAGGATGTGTAGCATCACCAACATCAGCAGAGAAAGAAACTTTCAGAATCGGAGAGCTGACTCCTTCTTGCACCTACAGCACTATTAGGATCTGTAATAAGCTCCTAAGTAGTTTTCTGTTCGCGAGAACTTATTGCCAATTCAGCGATATCTATAATATATATCTTGGCAATAGGAGGAAGTGCTGATGTTGGTACTTCACCTAAGGGAGTCTTCTTTTGTTTCAAAAATATACTTTGCTCATAAAAATACCTTTATATAAACATAGTCACAAATGCAGTTTGGTTCTGTAGCATATCAAGGAAACAAACAAACATTGGATTTTGACTCTATCCTAATAAACCAAAGACATCTCTTACTTGAACCAGACTATATTTGTATGCTTTTGAGGCATGAGGGTGGGCCTAATAACTGAATGGATCCCTATTTAATTTTGGCAGAAAGAACTCACACCTAAGTGGCAGGTTGCTGTTGGCCCTTGACATTGCTGTCTTCAACAGAATGAACTGACTGATTTGCGTCTCTGTCACTTTCCCAAAAGCCATGCTGATCGCTCTCTGCAAAGACATCAGGACTGCAATTTTCTACCCTGGTTTTGATGAGGAAAGCGAGGTTCCGGATCTCTTCCCGTGTCAAATCGTCACTATCAATGACATTTTGATTGTCAGTCTCAATAGGAGGTAGACATAGAGAGGATATTTCCCCTTATATATGGAAGAATCAAAATACAGGGATTCACTGTTTAAAAATCAGGAGTCACCATTGAAATCAGAAATGACATAAAGCTTTTTCTCCCAGAAGGCCACGAATCTTTGGAAGTCTTTTCTTCAAAACATGGTGGAAGTTGTGACCTTAAATATTTTTAAGGATGAGGTGGATAGGTTCTAGTTAAGCAAGGGGCTAAAGGTTATCAGGAGTAAGCAGAATTTAAGGTTACCGTCTGATCAGCCATGATCTTGTTGAATGGAGGAGCAGGCCTGAGGGGCTGAATGGTCTAATCCTGCTTCTTGATTGTATCTTTCTCTGAAAAAGAAAATCAAGGTGTAGAATGTCATCTTGCAGCTGGTCACCTTCATCTTTGGTGCACTTCTCCCCCCACATCTTCTAGACAGTCCTCAAAGAGAAATGAAAGGCCTCAGATACTCTCCTAGGTCCTAAGAATAATGTTTCTTCAATGAAGACTGATTAACACTGTATTGAGTTAACTTGGATTTCTTCCACAACTGGAAATTCAAAGTCACGGAAGAACAATGTTGATCAAGATTAAGAGTATCAGTGATTTCTTTCCTTTGTATATTGATATATGCCAAGCGCCTGCCCTCAGACCCTGATTGGAGTATCACCTGTGCCATGAAGTTGGACAAAAGACAGAGAAATTCAGATGAGAGCCACAATGTGATCTCTAACAGAGTAGCACTCCCAATCTCATGTCCAGTTTATGATTTGTGCTTCTATTATTAACCATGATGTCTGTGTACTGGAAAACCTCTTATAGGTCTAGCATTTCCTTGTAGAAGTATTCATCTTGGTCTTGAGTGTCATTTACGTCTTGAACGTTTACATTCGAGTGGTCTGGCTTTAAAATGTATGTCCTGAGATGGAATTCTTCTGTTACTGTGGAAAAACATCTTAAAATGGCCACTGTTATGGCAATGCATGGCACTGATAGCTGAACAGCCTTGGCTATAGGGAGGTGTTTACCCACCATCGCATGGAAATGGAGCAATGGCGATAACTGAGGCCTCTTTCCATTGGAGCTGTTTTCTTAGTGCATTTTGGGAGCCTTCTGACGATAAGCTGGATTGGGGCTGCATCGATGGTCTAGCCACATGAAACCTCCCCGTCCTCAACGCCCCAGATGAGCAGCCAGTCTCAAGAACTGCACTGCTTCAGCCAACATTAGGTCCTCTGCAAGAGTTCCAATATAGCATCCCAACTATGACATGCTCTATCACAATCTCATCACTCATTGGCAGTTAACTCCAACATCAATTATAGAAGGGATCAATACCTCTCCGGTCCATGTCTGCACTTAATGAGTTTGACCCAACCCTTTTCAACCCAGTGCTATAAACTAAAACATGAATCGAAGGGAAATAAAATGTACCTGTGCTTCTGATGCCCCAAATTCTTCCTGGAACATATGTGAAACAGATGATTCCAATATCGACAGCCTGACACAAAAATGGATTCAATCTGTTTCACTGAAATGAATGCCTATGGTTTATGCTAGGTGCTTTACCTCAAATGACAAGTGGTGTGAATTGTGATCTTGGCCTTTGTGAAGTTATAGAGTAGCTGGAAGGGAGCCAGGGCACAGCTGCCAGACATTACTTCTGCCTCCTTTACAATGCTTTGTGACTACAAATTAGCAGAGATATATAGTGAGGGAAATAAATCTTTTTATCCAACATCAATAAATAACATTACGTAAAGAGTGCAAATTTAGAGACAATTAATATAAGACAGTTAGTAGCAAATCAATTTGGAATTCTTTACCCAGAGCATAATGAGAATGTTGAAACTGCTACAATATTGAAGGGTTGAGATGAAAAGTATAGATGCATTTTAAAGGGAACTTAGACAAATACAAGAATTAAATAGAAGGATTGGATAACAGAGTTAGTTGAAGTAAGAGGATTGCGAGGAACCTCATGAGGGGCATAAATACTAGTACAGACCAGTTGGGTCAAATGGTCTGTTTCTGTTCTGTAAATTGAAAGTAATTAGTGGATGTCAATGTGTTTTTCACTTTCACTGATCTATGTGATTATAAATTAAGCCATTGTAATTTCCCTAATGAACTTTGAGCTTTGAACTGTATCCTGCATCCGTTGTGTGTATGTGATCAGCTCACAATGCAGCTAACATTAGCCTTTGATGGCAGACGGGGGAACCATCCTTGCAACATGGAGAATAAAGTTGATAATGTTAGGAAGTTGGCCTAAATAATTCAGTGAGAGAAAGAGATAGAAAGCAAGACAGAGAGGAGGTGGAGAAAGAAATGAATGATTAAGTGAACATGAGCTGATTACTGGAAGAATAAGGACATTTCTTTCCCCCCAACAATGTGATAAAAGGTCAACACATTTTTCTCAACATATTGAATCTTGCTAACAACATGCACAAAGTGACGACTTTCATCATTGTTGGGAGACTGTCTTATTTCAGTGAGATACAGACTCGTGAAACACAGACTGAGCTGGTTCAGTAAGCTAGCTGATGATGCTGTAACAACAGTGTATCAAAATGCCGTAAAAATTTACTGGCGTTTTGAGATCAGGTTTACCTGGATTATTGCTGTAAATTGATCAGCAGACAAGGAGACGCAAGATCAAGCTAGGAAAAGATAGTTTCCAGGCAGGTACCTGAGGATTTATCTTCAAAGAGATGTCATCGTATAGAATTAACTTTCAGTGTAGTGAGGGCAAGAAATTTGAAATCATTTGATGTCCATGGATGATGAGGGAATTGTTGGAGGTACACTGTTAGGAACTCTGTTGATGGATGAATCAGAATGGACCAAATGGCCTTTCTCCTCCATAATTTTTCATATGAGCAGAGTATTTATTTTTTATCTTGGAGCAACAAAACGATGACATTAGTTTCTTTATGCATAACAGGTTCTATTTAGTGCTTTAGAATATCTACTCCATGCCTCAGCTCTGACCCCCACCTCCTACTGCAATTTGATTCACTCTTTTATCGAATCCACATGCAGGCTTAGTCAATCAAGTACAGTGAGCATCAATAGTAAGCAAATTCACAAAATCCAACACCAAACAATTGAACCATTGACCTCCAGACATTTTATTTTGTGAGGCAGTTGCAATATTGATTACTTCCACTGGCTTTCATGGACGCAAGGTTTAAATACTGGATTTGACTTTGAATGGGCAGGAAATCAGAAAGGGAAACAAACATTCAGCCGTCAAATACCAAATCTCCTTCTGGCCTGACTGCTTCTGGACCAGACCAAGCTGGCAAGCAGCAATTACAGGCAGCAAGCGATCCAGGGTTTTTTTTTAGCCTGACTACCTACCAATCTTCCATGTCTGTGTCTGTGCCTGTGTGTCCCTGGAGAGGGAATGCAAGGTACTTGCTGGTACAATTGGCTCCTTCTGACAGAGGAACAGTTCATCATCACTCCCAGGAATTATGCCTTAAGTTGAATTGCTTGTTTTCCTATAAACATGTTGGATTTCTTACAGTAAATTAATGGAGTCCCTTTCAACGAGGCTAGAGAGTTCCTCTTTTTTGACCAAACCTACGATTGAATCAAAAGAGGCAGACAACACATTAAACATGTGAAGGAATGCAACATTTCTTTCTGATTCTTTCTCAGTTGAACTGTTGATCATGTTCTTTTGGAATTGACTGTCCCAACATTGTTAGTTTTCTCTTCTGTGCAGTAGAATTGCCTGGAGATATAGAACATAGAACATAGAACATAGAACATTACAGCGCAGTACAGGCCCTTCGGCCCTCGATGTTGCGCCGACCTGTGAAACCAATCTGAAGCCCATCTAACCTAAACTATTCCATTATCATCCATATGTTTATCCAATGACCATTTAAATGCCCTTAAAGTGGGCAAGTCTACTATTTTTGCAGGCAGGGCATTCCACGCCCTTACTACTCTCTGATATATGTGATTATTATTGAAAACCTAACACTTTTTGGTCATACTCCTTTTTCTTTTGGTGAAATTAGTTGTATGATGGATCATTGCCAAAGCTCACCTTGATGTGAGATAGATTTACTGTCATCGCTTTCTTTCCTGAAGGGGATCTACAGGGCCTTTTTGACAATCTTCACTTTAAGAGCTGCTCAGAGAGTGCACGCACACCATTCGACACGCATTGAGATTCAGCTCCCAGATACCACACATGGACCTCGAAGATCCATAGAGTGGCAGAAAATAATAGAAGGAATGTTGGTCTCAGATAATGGAGAATGCCACTTGGTAGTCAAATGAGAAGAGGCTTTTGTCTTAACCATGATGTGGTTCATTACATGATGAAAACTGTACACATTACACTGTTACACATGTTAGGCATTGTTACTGAGAATATGAGGGAGGTCTCAATGTAAGGCCTTAGGGGTCTGAAACTGCTCTCCCAAGTCCATACGACTTCATCGTATTAGACAATGTCCTCAGTGCTAACCCTGTCAGACTCTTACATCCTTATACAACAGAGGTGCCAACAAATTAATTAATACTTGAGTTCAACTAATCACTAAAAACTTTAAACCTTTGTGCATTGTTGAAAAAAGATGCGTTTTGCCAAAGTTCTTAATCTTTCATACGTCAGGCCAAATCATAAAAATACCAATGTAAAGGGAAAACTACATTTATACTGCACAAGAAGACAATGTTGATTTATTGGCAAAGTGAACTCTGACTGATAGAGGTGTTGCCCATGGATAATGCACCAGTTGATGATGACTGAGAGTTAATTGCCCAGCTTTTTAAAAAAATTTTAAGCCAGACAAATTGACTTTGATTAATCAAGGCAGCATCCTGAGAAATGAACTAGGCAATGGTTGCCGTCTGTTTTGTTGAGTGGAAGCAGGCATGTGAGTTTACATGTTCTTTCTGTCTGTGAACAACAGGGCCTTATGTATTAGTAATTGTAGCTTCCAGTATGTGAATGTTTGTACATTGCGAGCCCAAATGATAATGTTAAATAGATTGTCAGGGTAATTATTCATACTCTGGATTATTTAGCAAATACTATCCAATCACTTTAAGCACTCATCTAAATATGTCACCAATATTAATGTCTGACATTCAGCCAATCACAAGGGTATAATTTGTGAGTGAACGAACTCAATGTACAATTAAATTAGGATGCTGTGGGGATGAAGTGGCTTTCAAATAATAACAAACAAATCAAACAGAAGTCACAAAGAACAGGACAGATAAGTAAAAAGATATTGGAACAATAATGCAATGCAAATTTGTATCCTGGTTGGCTTGAGGTTAAAGAGAAAATCTTGCAGGATACAGCTCACTGAATAAATTGACAGAAATCCCAGTTACTTTTCCCAACCGTCTCACAAAGGCAACGAGGCTTGCTGTGGCACTCCTAGCTCTGAGATCAGATCACTCAGCTCAGGTCAAAGATGAAAACACGCCTGGTCTTCACGCACAGCTAACCTGCCAGCCCAAGCATCTCTAGAGACGAACTGCTCGGTCCACAGAATGATTTCTTTTCTTTTGCATGTTCTGTCACTCATATTCATTTCTTCCCTGTCAGGGTGATTGCTTATCTTCTAGGTGAAATTATATTCCTCCTGCTAATATATCTTCACCATGATACATAGCGTACCTGAGCCAGGAGTAATTTATAACATGTAAAAAGTCCCAGATTGCTGTATACCAGACATACTAGTGATTGGTATGGTCCCCTGATATGAGTTACTCTGGAGGGCAAGCTGACAAAATTTGGCAGGGAGCCATATGCAGAGATATTAGAATAAAATACACAGTCGGTTAACTGAGTTTTAAGGACTGTTTTGCAGGGGAAGAAAGAGGGATGGAAAAGTGGGGAGTTTTTGTTAGTGTGTTCTTGGTTTTAGAGTCCTGATAATTATCATGAAAGTGATGGAATTGGTCATGCTGTGTCTTTGCATAGAATTTGTATTCTGGTCCATTTTTCTAGATGCTAAGTTGGTAACTGTACGTAGATTTCCATTGTTAATGTCATCCTGTTTGTTGCCTTATCAATCTTTGCATTTGAAAAGTACGATTAGGCTATGGTGATATCAATACTAACAAGATGGCCATACATAAAGTGGCAATCAAGTATGATGTGAACAGACTCTCAGTATGTGTCCTGTCTCCGCATCTGTCAACCAGTTGGAACTAAACATGACCCTCTCACAGCAGCAATGACTTCAATGTTGGCCACAGCTCAGCACTAAAATCTTTACTGGCTGTTCAGAATCTTCTTAACTGGTTCTTGTCTGAACAATCTCTCCTTTTCTATGTAAACTCCTATGTAAAGCCCTACAACCATACCATAATCACTCCTCTGCACTAAATATGGGTTCAGCTGTTGCTAAGTGGGTAGCTGGTTTGCTGCTGGGTTTGAAGATTGTGAGTTCAAATCTCACTCCAGAGATTCCAGCTCTGGCTCTGTCAGGACTGTGGTCTAGATGGCAGCTCTTGATGGTGCAACATTGTTCCCCCTTGGAGGTAGATGTCCCACTTTCACCTGGGTTAGCCTCATAGCAGCCTGTTGTGGCTGTAAATTGGGCTTTACCTTCAAGTGCATTGACTGCCTGTCAACCTTCATTGCAGGGAGACCAAGCAGTCCACACCTGCACCCATCCTCCAACCTTCCGTTAAATCCAGCGTCCAATTACAAAGTTCCAAGGTTGCGTCCCAGTCCAGGATGGGTGTGCTAACATCAAGGCTGACTCTCCAGGGTAGTACTGAGGGAGTGCAGCATTGTCAGAGGGTGTTGGCGTTTAAATGAGATGTTATATCAAAATTCCATCTCCCTGCTTGAGTAGAGGTAAGAGATCCCGTGGCACTATTCCAGTGAAGGGCAGGGTTCTGACAAATATTTATCCCTCAATTGGTATGACAAATGCACATGATCTACTCATTATCACATTGCTGTTTGTGGGAGCTTGTGTGACTACAAGCCATGTGTGGATTTACTGTTGTGTTTCCAATTCGTGACAATTACTTCAGAAGTACTTCTTCAGCAATAAAGCACTTTGAGATGTCTAGTTATTGTGAAAGGTGCTACATAAATACAAAACTTTCTTGCACCCTCTCTTTCTTAACCTGTTATTACAGCAGCAAATGAGTAATGTTGGAAAAGCAGCAGCCAGTTTGTAAACAGCAAGATCCCACAAATGGAAGTTGGATAATAATTGGATTATCTGTTTTTGTGATCCTGATTGACAAATAAATATTTGCTAGGACACCAATCTAAATCATGGGCTGTATTCCCTGGAATGGTACTTGAATTG